TACATCTTCTCTCAAAATAGATCTAATTCTTTACAAAATACAAGATGATGCTTTTTTGACCATTGATCAAGTTTATTTTCTGTCTTCCGGATTCTTTAATGTTGATCCACATGTTCTGAATTAAATCTTTTACTCTCTCTTGGATACAACTGGAATCCTTCTCAAAGTTCAGTATGTGATTGATGGCTAATTGAATTTACTTTGCTTCCATCATTGTTGCTACTTTCTAATTTTACTTGTTTGGTTCTCCAGAAGCCCATCTGTCATGGGGATTCTTGCTGCAGAGAGGAAATTTCTGGGTGAGATTGGTGTACTGGACAGTGGAATGCACATATATGGAGGAGAAAACGTGGAACTTGGCCTGAGAGTAAGCCTATTTTTTTCACCTTTTTCTGAAAGACAGTGAAAATCAGTATGTGATTTTTTTTTTTGAAAGCACTCAGGACGCTGGTTATTGTCCAAAGCATGGGTTAATATTTCAGAACACTTCTGGATTATCTTGGGTACCAAAGGGAAGTGATAGATTTCTAGAAGTGTTCAAAGCTCATCAGCAGGCTTTGGTTGATACATCCTAAGGATTTTGACTCCTGACAGAAAAACACAGTTCAGTGAGGAAATACTGAATCTCACAAGATGTGATTTTCTGCAGAAATTGGAGGTACATGTCTCATGGTTCAGTTTTTAGCAGAAGAATGAAATAAGAGCAAGTTAAGTGAAGTTATGTATCAGGAAAAAAAATAAAACCCCAAACAAAACCAGAAAGAGATCTGTCTGCCCTAGAAAGTAATGTGTTCTTCAACTTCAGATGTCTTCAAATCAAGAATGGATGTCTTTTATATTTTTTTTTCCCCCAGAATAGTTTTAGCTGGAGTTTCTTCAGTTATTAGGGAACTTGTGAGAGCACTAAAAACTCTATTGATGAGTATTTTTTAAAAGTAATGGTGGTTGGAGGTGTTCTAGAAGACCTGAGATTAAAAAAAAGTTACTACAGTGCTTATTTCTCTAAAGAAGAGACAAGATGGTAGGAGATGGGAATTATAAACCCATTAGCAAGACTTAAATGTCTAGGAAAAAAGGGTTTGATTATTCTCATTCTCTGTAAATATGAAAACTAGGGGACTTTGAAAGAAGTCAGTAATGCGTTTCAAATTGAACATGAGGAGAAGGTGCGGGAGATGAGTGAGGACACCTGGCACGATCAATGTGATCAAACAAGTGAACCTTTATTTGTTTACACTCAGCGTGCTTTATAGCTTTCTAAACAAGACTTGGCAATCTGTGATTGACTATGATACAAGCAATAGACCACCCCTCAGTATGACTGGTTGCATCCCAGAAGCAACGTCATCATGGTGTCAAATTCCCTTTCTGCATCCAGGCACGTGCTCCCAGGAAAGGCTGGATTGTTCACATGTCCGTTGATTCTCAGGTATCCTTCCACAAGAAGGTACTTTATTCTTCCAATAGCAGACTAGACCAACAGACCGGGAGCAGAAGTCCTTCCAGTATTATGAGTCTCAAAAACTTGCCATCATTTGTGGGGAAAATGAACAGTTATGGAAGAAAAATCTACTCAGACTTAATAAACAAAAGTGAATCACAGGAATATGCAGAATGTCCCCTTTATTTTATTGCCCTGCACCGTTCACAGTGGTGGCAATGTATGTCTACTCTGTAGTTGTTTACACAAATGCTGGAGACAAAAACAACGGAGAATCGGTTCAGTTAAAACACAAAGCTGCTCTGAAAATTGACTGTAAAAATAATATTAAAGATCTCTGTTTATTTCCATCCTGAGGGTTTCTTGTATCAAATATGCTTGGTTAACAAGCAAGCAGTCTCTCATGTTTTTCTTTAGCCAGCTGCCAGTCCCGGAAACTTTGTTGTGAAGGAAGTATATAGCGCATAACGAAGCATTGCGGGATTTAAACTAGGACAATAAATTTGCGTTGCGCAGTGCCATGTGGACTTGCCAGCTTGAGTTCGGTTCACAGCTGCTCACCTTTTCGAGAGCTTTCACATCTACGCTGGTTAATGTATAGTCAGGTTGGATGTGTTTGTTCTGGACCTTTGGTACTTTTGAAGCATTGGTTGTGGCCTGATAAGGTATCTCTTTGAATGTAGGTGTTTTCCAGGAATTCGCTGGATGTTTTTCTTTCTGTTGAGTTCTTCCTAGTGTGTAAGATTTTGCAGGACCAGTTTTCCTTTGGCATGTCCTGAGCAATGTCACTGCTTCTGACGGATTCAGGCCCTTAAGCATCACAGTATTTAGCAGTCTACCTCCTGGTGTAATCAGCTGGAAATATGTACCAGTTTTGCCTTAGTGTATCTCTGCCACTTGTTCTGAGTGCCTTGTCACAGGAAATTGGTGAGCAGTTCTGTTAATGATGATAACAAATTAAAAGAAGAAACAGTATGTCCTTACTCTCCTGGACCTGTGATAGAACTAGACACAATAGAAATGAAAGCATTGATACATTATTTTCATTCATTCAAGCCAGAAAATAGAACTTTGAGTGTTGAGGGCATGCCAGTTCAGTGAAGGAGTGTGGGGAGCAGAAATGGGAGCACTTGAACAAAAAGTGCAGAGTTTGAATAAATAGGCAACTTTACCTTAAATTCTTTCTTCTTTACCTAGGCCTGGCAGTGTGGAGGCAAAGTAGAAGTGCTGCCCTGCTCAAGAGTTGCTCATTTGGAAAGAGCTCACAAGCCTTACTTGCCGGACTTGAGCGTCGCGGTGAAACGTAACGCCTTGCGGGTAGCCGAAGTGTGGATGGATGACTACAAGGACATGGTCTACTTTGCATGGAATCTTCCAATTCAGGTGGCAGTGTTTCTCTGTGTTTCAAATTGGGATCCAAAGTGTAAAAGTGGTCAAATAAGAGCATGTAATCACATGAAAAGAGGTGTAGTGTGGTTGTAAGAGTCACTGTGAAAAAAAATATTAGTTAATATTGATATGTTAATAATTATTTATATGGATGGCATCCAAAAGCCATGATCATAGACATGCTCCTCTTAGGCTCAGACCAAGAGTTGATGCCTAGCTTAAAGAATATAAAATGAATTTTTTTAATGTGTACTTTAACTTTATTAGTGAAAGTAGGGAATATTTTACCTGGAATATTCATAATATTGCATGAAAGAACATCTCTCTCGTGATCTGAGTGTCCCTAAATATCTTTTAAATGAACAAAATTTAACTTTGAAGAATTCAATTACTCTTCATCACATACCCAACGATTTCTGTTAAGTGCACTTTCCTCTCTGCAGCCCCAAGTTCTGCTTTTGTTTTCCTAGAAGAAAAAAAGGAAAGTCTTATAGCATCCTTGGAAGCTTGAAAAATGGTAATATCAGGAAATTTCCTGAAAGAAGTTTCCTTTAATAATAATAATAATCTAAGACCTTTAAATTACAGAGTTTTTTCTTCTTCTGATTAACTTCAGTACTTCCGAACATGGCTTCAACTTTTCTCCTGCACAAACTGTTGAAGATACTGGAAGTGTCAGGTCTTTTGACTATTGATAACTCCAGTTAATAAAAAAAATTAAATTATTTTTTAGAGCCTGCACTTCAGTGGATTTGTGAATCTTTAACAAAGGAAGAATAGCCTCCCATCTCCTTGTGTTTTCTTAAACAGATATTAAAGAAACAAATTAAAATATATAGTGATCCAGCATAACAATGCAATCTACTTTCCTTCCTCATCAGTTAATATTTGTAATTTTTCATCTGGAAATGCTAGTTTTCAAAAACTAAACTGTTGGTAGGATCTCAAGTATCAGTTTTAGCACTGAATGAAACTTGAGTAAAACTTGTTGACCTTTAATGACCCCTTCTCTCTGGGATGTACAAGTCTATTTGAAATTCCTAGTCTAACTTATTCAGGTCACAGATTACAGTATACAGAACTGCTTAAAGACATGGTGTAAGCTCCCGTTGGACTGATTTCTGTCAAACTTTCCTGCTGGAGCTGTTCCACTTTGTATAAGATGTTACACAGTCTTGGAAACAATAGTTTGAATCTTGATTGCTCTCATATGAGATGGGCGTCACAGTCAGCAGACTGTTGATCAAACTGTGGTTGTTAACAAGTTCTGTCTTATTTTTCACTTTGAGTTAGATTTTTTTTGTCAGTATGAAAGCTAATTCCTAGCCATATCTAGCTTTAATTATCTTAAAGAAGTCATAACATGTTCATTTCTCAGTAACTTATTGGTTCTTCTAGGCAAAGATGTTCTGAAATTCTGAAGTTTAAAAAATGTACAGTTTTTTTTTAAAAAAAACTTTTAAATATATATTTTGTATTATGAATAGGCAATATGGAGAAATAAGTCTTTATTTCCCCTAGTTTCTTAGACCACCATAATGTTCTGAAATTAAATATGTTTTTCTTGCAGAATCCTGGAATAGACTTTGGAGATGTTTCTTCCAGAAAAGAGCTAAGGAAAAAACTGAACTGTAAAGGCTTTGACTGGTACATAAAAAACATTTACCCTAATTTAGTATTTCTTCCCAACATTGTTGGCTATGGAACAGTAAGTATTGAGTCTGTTTGTCTGAAATATGGAAGAACTCATTAGCTCTGTTGTTATGAAGAATTGTGAACTCTGTTTTGCTGATTATGATATGTTTTCCTAGAAACTTCAAAAAGAATTTTACATGTCTTTCTAGACACTGAAGCTTTCTAAAGTCTTTTTTATATTGTCAATCTAAAATTTCTAAACTGTGGTTATTATGTAGGTACTGACAGGAACACAACTGTATTATGGGAAAGTGCTTAACCTACACTTTTTTACTGCATGCAAAACTCACCTATCGAACGACAAGAATGGATCAATATCTTCTTGTAAGGATTTGAATCTTTCGATGCGATAGTATGGATATTTTTCTGCACAGATTAGCAGGATAATTTCGAAAGCATGCAGATGTGAATCAAGATAGTGTGTAATTAATTGGAAATCAGGCTACTATTTGTGAAAGAGAAAACTAATCATCCAGGCCAGAGTGGCTTCTTAATATAGGTAGGCATTTTGTACACCCAAGCTTGCATACGTTGCTGGAGCTGGGCAGTGGTACTTGCCTGTTTGGAGCTGCCTGGTGACTTCTGATGTGGTGCTACATGGCACGATGTTGATGAGTCTTTAAAGGACCTTAATTTGCTTTCTGTTTTTCCTGTGATGAATCATTTCTGTGAAGGTAATCTGAGATTTATTTTCTAAACCCATATCATATCTTCAACTTCAGGATTCGATGCAGAGCTCTGAATAAAGTAGCCTTGCCCTCCGGACAGTTTTTAAAATTATCGGTGACGAGTTGAAAACGGGATTGCTGTACCTCATGGTAAATTTCCTGTTTTATTCTGCAGATGAAAAACACGTTGAAAGAAGACATCTGTATTGATCAGGGCCCTGTCCCTGGAAACACACCGATTATGTACTCCTGTCATGCATATTCACCACAGGTAATGCAAGCAACTGATCAGATCTTCACATATGAGCTGTTGCTGTTACTTTCAAGAGCCCACAGGGCCATGAAATAGGCACTTCAAAACTATTATCTCTGTGCTGTCTAAAGGGGAATATTAGCCTTTATTTCATTGAATTCTGCTTGCCAATGCAACTAGCAGCTGAGCAGGTTTCTGTGGAGACCTAAGTGTGTTAAACTGAGGCTTTTGGTTTAGCCTTGCCAAAAAAATTGTGAGACCTCATGTTAATACT